TAGGTGACAGTGAAATACTTGCGGTCAAGAACGGGAGTCACTAGCTAGCTTGGGTGGTAGCTTGGAAATCAAAGTTGACGCAAATCCGAGCGAGACAATCAATTTCTTAAGTTAGAAAACGGTGTGACGAGGCTACGTTTGGGAATTTTTATAGGAGAATCGGGTTAAGTAGTGGCATGGTCTTAGGGTTTGTTTTAGTAGCTTGATATACCATCTCGAGCGTAAAATAGTTGGTTTAGCAATTGAAACATTGAGGTGGGTTTTTGGGACGCTTTAAAAAGCGTGCAAGACACGTTCCCGAACGGTTGCAGCGTTTTGCCGCGGTCACTACGCTTCGGTTTGGCTTGGCGCGTGGCACTGGCCTGCCCCTGGCGCACACACGCGCACCGCCGTTGCCGCGCACTGGCACGTGACGCACGCATGAGCACGCCGCGCCCGGCGGTCTGGCCGCTCGGCCACCACCACCGTCGTCGTGGGCCCGCTGCTTTGGCTAGCCCGCTGCCGCCACTTCACCGTGTCACGGTCTCCATTGCGCTACTGCTAGCCATGGCCGTGAGTGTGGAGTCGCTTGGCCGCTCTGCCACCGCCGTCGTGTCCGCTGATGCTCGCCGTCGCGTCTTGCTGCATCCCCGGTCACGCTACGCTCCGACCACCGCTGTCGCGCGGCCACTATTGCTGCTGACCCTCACGACTGCACACGCGTGGGCTTGCTCTGCCTGCCTTGTCGTCACATCGGCGCTCAATGATGCTGCGCTGCTGCCCCCTTTGACTGGCGCCAGCCACCTAGGCGCGTAGGGCCGAGCCACCGTTGCCTTGCGAGTCAAGCCGCTGTGGTTGCATGTCGTCGTGCCAGTCTCGTACGCGCATGTGGAGCCATCAACCGTCATGCTGCCATCCTCTCCCATTTAGTGACTGCGCCACGCCACACTCCCCGTCACGTCGCCTTGAATGGCGTCGCGCCGGCCGGCCGAGCTGCGCTAAGGCCAACCCGTAGAGCTGGCCCCATCCTTGTAATTGCGCACATCTGGAGGTCGATTTGGAGTCCAGCTTCGCACCAAGCTTGCCACTGCTGCCGCCGTACGGCGTCAGTCTTCAATTTGAGTTTTCCCCCGCCGTCGACCCCCTTAAGTCCGAACGGCATTGTCCAACCAATTGGCCTTACGTAGTCCACCTCCTTCCAATTAACCATGCGCCTAACTAGCCCTGGTAGTTAGCTCACAATTGGAGTCGACCCGATGAGCTTTCGTCTTCTAGTGAGGTAATGCGGGGCATTCTCCTCGCGGCGGTCCGCCATGGCCGTCGAGGTGGGTGCTCGGCCAGGGCATCGCTCTGTGCTCCGTTGTTTCAATTGAGCAGTGTCTTTGCGTCGTGTTGACTTGGTTGCCTCGCTCGTGTAGCAGTTTCGCCGCGCGGAGTAGCGAGTCACCGGGAACGCCATTGCCGCGCTTGCCATGATCCAGAGCAACCCCGCGCATGTGGCCAACCACCTTGCCGAGCCTCATGACTTCTTCTAGTCTATCCTGCACGTATCTGGTGAGGCCCTCTTGCTCCTAGAGTAGGTGATTGAGCCGGTTAGGGCCGAGGCTCGCCGGAGCGCGTGGTTGCCTCCGGCGAACGTCATGTAGATGCGATGTACGTGGCCGGCTCGTTTGGGAGTAGAATAGGTATGCCTAGGACCTCTGGGGTGTTACCGGTACACTAGGCATGGAGTCTAAGTAGTGATGGTAGCGTTGGGTTAGGTGATTTCGTCGACGCCGGTGTTGCCGCGGCCAGACCCCGCCGCGGCGCATGGCCACGTCTTTGTGCTGCACCATTTGCGGCGTTTGATACCTCGATCGATCGCGCTTCCCTCGTAGAGTGTCATGGTGGTGTTGGTTGGTGCCGGGGAGGTCCGTGCTCTCTGGCGTTTGGCCGGGGAGGCCACGGCCTCTGTTAAGTTTCGGCCCGGGACCTTGAAATGGGAATTCGAAGTGAACCGAGGGGTTAAGTGCGAGCGTCGAGAGAGAGAGAGAAATAAATAGTAGAAAGGACTGCGTGTTCATTTAGTTGAAATCTGGGGTCTCTTTTGCATAATCGTCGGTGCGCGCGTGGGTCTCCCCGCGTTGGGCCACTATCGCGCGTGGGCCGCGCCGGTGTGCTGCGCGTGCGCCCGCGCGGGGCGCTGGAGTGGGCCGAGCCGCTCGCTCATGGGCCGCGCTAAGGAATTCGGTTTTTCATTTTCCAATGAATTAATAAATGTTTATTCAATTTAGTTGTGAGCTGATCTTTGTAAAATTGTAGAAAAATCTGTAGGTGTCCAAAAATAGTGAAACAAAATTTGTTAGGTTCACAAAAATGCTATCTCTCTGTTGGTGTAGTTAGTTTACAGTTAGCTGTGATAATGATAGATTCATAAATTAAATTTAGAAAGCTTAGTATTATTTAGCTTAATATTGTAGGAATTTTTGTGATAAATTGGTGATAGCTATAGCTATGAGGTTTTTACAGTAGGCTGATTAGATTCTTATGTGCTCACTGTAATTTTTGTAACTCTAGAGTAGGTTGATAAATAGAATAGCTAGTACTCCCCATTTTATCATAAGTAGAGTAAATCGATATTAAAAATAAGGATTCCTTTAGTTGCTAAGTTAATACATAAAATGTTGCATACCTGTTTAGTGGAAATGATAAGTAAGTAGCATCCTAGTTGGTAGAGCTAGTTCAGTAGCTTGACAGATGTATTTTTATTTTAAGAGTTGCTGTTGCCGTATTACTAAGTGTTGCATCATCATTTCATGCATGTAGATCACGAGTTTGTAGAGTTCGTGCCTGCGGACGAACAAGACTATGAGGAGGTCATTGAGGAGTACGAGGAGGAGATTCTCGTACAGGAGGGAGCCCCGGAGCCGTTCGGTGCTGACTTTGTTGACCCATCGCCTGCCCAAGGCAAGCCCTGGTGCATAACCCTTATTTTTGAAATGATCATATATATGATGTGCATTTACGTTACAGGCATTTTATGGAAACTACATGCATAAATATATCTACCTATGAGTCCTACTAGTATAGGTCGAGTAGCTGCTATGCTTAGGATATCGGTAGCGTGAGTAACCTGCCGTTACTCACAATAGATGAAAATTATGATCACTCATGATAAAATGGTGGAAAGAAGAAATGGTGACCGGGCAGGGATATGATTTGGGTATTGGTGGGTGTAAGAGGTTGTGTGCTGCGGCCAATTGGGCATAGCTTGGTTATACTTTTTCCCTGTCTGTGTCGGTTAAGGACCGGCCGTTGCATAAGTCTCTAGGCAAGTCATAGATTTATTATCCCGAGCACATACTTGGGTATGGGAGCAGGGAAGACTTGTTGCTCTCTTGTCGTGGGTTTCGGCTCTTTCTGGACCAACTGATTGGAGGCGAGGATGGTGGAGGTCCTTGCACCGCACTGAGTCCGGGACTCAGGAGTGGAGGCTTGGAGTCTAAGTTTGGACAGGGATCTGGACCCCGTGACGGGAGGGTGATGGGTTGGTTCTGCTTGTGCCTGGGGTATAAGCGGGGCGTGTGTTTTCGGGGTACCCAGCTGGGGGGCATTGATTCGTGAATCACGGGGCAATCCGGTACGGCTTGTTTGGGGTCTAACATCGTAGTAAGAACTGAAAGATGAAAGGTGATGAAATGAAAATGATTGCTCAACTCTTGCTTGAAAGTAGAACATGGCTTACATAGAATGGCTAGATAATAAATTAATCATGGTTGCTAATAATAACATAAATAAGTACTCACTATTAGTGTTGCTTTATGCAAAAAGGAAACCAGCAAACCATAAAGCTTATCATATTTCTTGGAGTCGGGAAAATATTCCCACTAGTCGGATAAGTCTTGCGAGTACATTGTGTACTCAGGGTTTATTTACCCCTGTTGCAGGTACTGCTTGAGGAGTAGCCTTTGTGTGAAGGATTCTTTTGGTGGGCACAGACGGATTCTTGTTCATTATCGATAGATGTTTATTTTCATTCCACTGTTTAATATTCCGCGCTCTGACTTTGGTAATGTAATAATACAATTTTAAGCACTCTGGATGTATGAAATAGACTAAGTTTATAACTCGTTCTCATTATTGGATCCTTGGGAAAAATGTGGATCTTTCGGGCTCTCCCTTGGGGTGTGCCCGACGAAACCCGTCCGCTGTAGCTTGCTTTCGGGGCACTTAGTGTCTGGTGGAAGATGAGCGCCTCCGTAAGTGCGTTATTTCGGGCGGTTCTGCCACAGGCCACGCCCTGCCCCCACCTAATCGTGACTGTTTGTTATACATACATGCGTAATAGTTGTCGTTACCTTGTTTTGCATTGCTGCATCGTTGTTAGTTTGTTACAGTACAGTCTTAGAATGGCTCGGCGCTGCATTGTTGCACGTTTTGCACCATTCCTTTGACGAAACTAAAGTAACAACTCGGCCCTGTTGTATGCATAGTTGTGACTTGTGAGTCACGGGGCAGCACCCAATCGAGTGGAGGCAACGCGTAGGTCCACGCGGAGGCGGTGCGTAGGGGCGGCCATCAGCCTTGCGGAGGCGCCGCGTAGTGCGCAGACGCCCGTGGCGGCTGGCGGAGGCAACACGAGACGCCCACGGTGGCCGCACGCTGACACCCGCAACAACCGGCAGAGACGGTGTCAGGGGCGCGAGCAGCAGACCCGAGCGCGGAACTGAGAGCACCGCATGCGTGCTTCCCGTCTTGGTCTCGGATGAGTGAGAAAGGATAAGGTAAGGGCAAATAGGTAATTTTATATTTGGGTTTAAGGTCAGTTTGACTTTTCTATACGGTGCAACCTTTCAGTGATATTTTACGGAGACACAAACTTTCGATAGTATTTTACAAAGATCGTGATCTTTCGATGCTACATGACTAATTCTCCCTTTTATATAAATCATCCCCGCTCTTGTACCACAGATATGTAACCACTTCCGCAAATAGAATTCGTCACTTGTACAAATGCTTACTGTAGGAACATAGCAGCTTGATTACGTAGTACATAGGATGGACATCGATCTGTCCTCCAGCTCATTCGGTTCAGGAATGCGCAGGTCATATACACCTAAGATCCGTACAGTCCATGAGCCTGTGAGCGTCTTACTTACTGCGTTTTGCACGGAGGCAAGTGAATCGATTGCAGTCTTTGTGAACCAGCTGATTCCAACCTTCACCCGGTGTTCATCCGTGGGCATTCTGAGGCAGTACACGAGCTTCCGAGCTGCAGAGCAAAGTTCAATTTCAGTTACGCACAGGCAAAAGTGAATGAGCATGCTTCGAAGTGTTCATACCAGCATGTCCTAGAGGTCCTTCCAAGGTCAGTCCTTCAATGAAACTTGCTGTTACCGCGGCATCATTTCTACCAAGTGTCATCATCTCACCAAGGTTTTGGAACCTGCAAAACATTCAGTATATTTGAGGTCTCCTATGGAGTTCAACCCTTCCTAGTTCCTACTAAGATATGGAAAACTACTGGCAAGAAACTGAACAAATTAGCAATGCTTTGAATAGATGAACAGAGACAAAGGTGTCAGCTGGATTTGAACCTGAATGGCAGGAGAGGCCGATCATTTATTGCCGCCCAGAGATTCCATCCAGCAAAATCTGCTTGTTGAAAAGCAACCTAGGAGATCAGAGTTTCTTTAGTGACATGACTAGCGGTGCAGGCTTGCAGCATCAGCCTGAAGCAAAATCCAGCAAATCTCTTACCTGTGCAGTGGCTGGGAGGAGTTTGCCTGATGGATCCCTTAGAGCTGCTGAATCACCAATCGCAAATGTCCGGGGATGACCTTTTACTTGAAGGGTTTCCTCTGTCTCCACCTGTCCCCGACCATTCAGAGGAATAACATAGGGGGCATCAGGAGGCTGTAACCGGGGAATCTGAGATGTTGAACCCACTGTCCACAGCACCAAATCAGCCTCAAGAGTCTGGCCTTTGAGGCCTCTTTCAGCACGTTGAAGGTCCAAAATTAGTTTCCTATTATCACCGTCAACTTCAGAGTACGTAACTGTGCTACTAGAATCATCAGATGTAGAAGCCTCTTTAATGCAGCTCACAAAATATCCCAAGAAAAGCTGAATATTCCGAGACTCAAGAACCTGATGAGAAAGTAGTGGAACCAAAATTTCTTTAGTGATTAGCTGATAGCCCAAAAATATAATTTCCTCAACTGAAGAAGTACAGATATGAAAACAATATCATCGTGGGCAAACACTGCTATGTAAAATAGTAAAGGAATAGCATGACTTCTCCATGTTGTCTTGCATGGGAATATAGGATACATAAACAACCCGATGGAAATGTATTGTTTGGTGACATGTTACAAAAGGTGAAGGGATTTGTATGATAAGGATAGCAACATTGCACTAAAGCTACAACCCTTCAACTGGATAAGAATTCAGACACGAGATGACCCCACAGCATTCAAATGGAATATGCAATCAATTAAAATTTTAATATAAAGCTGACCAGAACAGTTCATTATGTATGTATAGAACCTTTGAGCTTCTTACCTTCAGAGCAGCATCACGATTTCCTTGTGGAGCAGTGGGACATATGGTTGTTTGAACATTTATTGCCTTTACAGTCCCGGTGTTTTTTAATCTCTCAGATATAGTCGCAGCTAATTCAACACCGGAATAGCCCAACCCCACAATTGCCACCTCAATAGTAGGGGAACTCCTACCAAACCTTTTCCTCTCTAGCATTTTCAACTTGCTTTCAACCCTCTGCAAAATAAATTTATGAAATAAACAACAGGAGAATTTGATAGTCGTGGATTCATGGATGAGTATTTGAGCTATTTATGCACAACAGGATCTACAATACTAGAAATAGCTAATAGCAGCCATAATAACAAATGCATGATGGTATACAAATAATTGACCCTATTTTTTTTTAAAAAAGTATTGAGTTATTTCAAAAAGTATGATTCACTTGTTACATAGGTTGTCAGAACAAAGGCATCAGGAAAAAGATTGATGATCATGGTCTCATCGTAAGATAATCTGCTGCTCCCTTTTGATCTTTTGCTGCAGCAGAGAGTTGGTATTTTGGTCAGCTCTTGCTGTCCATTTATAATACTGTAGGAGTATGGCAATAGGCCAACTATGTAGTGGCATACATCAGCCATGTGGTAGTAGTTGGGGGCTGAGATCAGCCATGTACTAGTGTACCATATAGTTGGTACTAGACTTGTATATATACTAGGCAATGCAATGGAAGAATCAGTTCAGTTTCCTGCACTTGTGCCTGTGCAGTGCTTGTTTTGTGTGCTGTGCTCACCCTTCTCCTACCTCTAGCCGTGAGTTGTGAGGGTGGTGTGTGAGTGAGCTGATTGCTCACCTCTGCAGGTGGCTGGATTGCCAACACTCATGGACCCACGGTTGAGAAATTAAGCTATCTATGCACTATGCTGCACAATAGGATCTGTAATCCCTGAAACAGCTAATGCAACTATATCAACAAATTCATGACATATATCAAATAGTGGCCCCCAATGTTAATATTGATTATAGTTTTTGAAAAATAATTGATTCCATTAATCAAAGACACATTACAGAGATGACAGTAGTAGACTCCCATTGGAAATTTGTAGCGCCAGTCTCATTGGGCATGGAGTGGCATGGAATAAACCTAACACATAAGGAACATTATGAACCTGTGTCGACCCACTAGCTTGTTTTGCTAGTCTAACTGTTGCTCATTTAGAACTCTTGTATGATTCACTTGTTGCAACAGTAGATTTTACAGGCTAATATTAGTAGTTCCAACAATAGATTAGTTTGCAATGAGTATATATACAATTTCATGAGATGATTTGTGCTTACCAAAGCATCCTCTAATGTCGTGAAAGGAAGTGCATATTCAGCTGAACCGGGAACAACATCAATTTTAGCTTCAGCCCCTAAAGCTAGAACGAGCCTGGCTGCCCATTCCAAAACAAATGTCAGCAACAAGCTTATTGTAACTAGACAGCAAAGAACTTTAATCTAGCCATCTACATAAATAAAGTAGTTCTACATGTTATTGTTGTGTTCTATGGTTCCCTATTATTATTTATTACTCCCTCTGTTCCAAATTATAAGTCGCTTTGACTTTTTTGGTTCATCCATTGCTATGTATCTAGACATATTATTATATCTAGACGAATAGCAAAATGGATGTACCAAAAAAGTCAAAGTGACTTATAATTTGGAACGGTGCGAGTAATTATTAACAATCTACTCGTTAAATAAAAAAATCCATTCATATCATGATTCAGGAGTGGCCCGAACGAATGGACCAATGCTACATGGTTATCAGAAAAAAGGGACAGAGTTAAGGCAATCCTAGGTTCACATTAAAAGTTAGTGAGACAGACACTGGTACTTATTTTACATAATCTAAAAACTTTGTAGCAGCAAATAACAACTTGTTCTTATGTTTCAAAAACAAATATCCTTAAACATATCTTAAATGAAAAAAAATGAATTATAGCAAACTACTTTAAAATTGCTCCTAAAAGGAAGCCTTGGACTTGACAGCCACTGCAATCATGTAGAATTTATTATTCTTACCAATCATATTCAATGACAGTGCCACTTTCCAGATGAACAACTCCACCAGTGCATGGTTCTCCAGGTCCTCTTCTAAAGTGATCAGAAGGGCGCAGAAGCTTTACACTATCTCTCACAAATTGAACACTTGTGCTTTTCAGCAACTCTGTAAAAGATGGAGCTATCTCCCAGACATCCACTTCTGGCAACCAGATCAAATAGCAGCAGATTGAAATATGAAAACATGTGAAAAGTAATAATCAAAATAATTTATACAATTGAAACAGAAGTACCTCCTGATAATAGCTCATACAACATGGGTTTAAATACAAATTTATCAGATTGATCAACCAGAAGAACCTGTAATTTGTGTTGCTTTATTAGTAAACTATTACAGTATAATAAACGAAATAGAAGATTACAGAAGACGCCATCATGAAATCATAAGACCCATAAGAAAGGGTCACATAAAATCCCATGAAGAAAATTTATGCAGTTCATAAGGAGTGTAATTTCTACCAGTTCAAGATAAAGGGAATTTAGAAGAGCATCATCATTTTACCTGAGGCCTCTTATCATTGGGCCACACAAGAGAATCAAGTCTTAAAGCAGTGTACAGGCCTCCAAATCCACCACCTAAAATGCACACTCGTGGTCTCTGAAAATAAGTATTAAAAAAGCACATTCAGTAACAGCAATATAAATCTATAGTCAGAATAACTATATTAAAAATCCAGCTGCCCTAAATCGTAACAAACAACTATCCTCAGCAAGGCTCACATAAATGAGGGGAAAATATTCCCCTGTCCGTAAAGAAGAACAAAAAATATGTATCACTAGTAGTGTTTATTAAAAGCTGTATGTCATGAGTTGCAAATGCATTTATACTAAAATTTTTGTCCAAATGATGTACACCTAAGTCTAGTCTCTTGTGATTGTAACGTAGTAACATTTCCCACAAATTATCAGTGCATTAGCCATTAGCCATTAGAGTAGGTGAGTCTAAGGTGAACTGACTCAATACTCTGACCACATACAGATAACTACCAACTCGTGAATAGGTGAAAGCAAATATCAGGGAACAGCAGGCAATCTTAAGTTGTTGATAGCCCAAATCAGTCGACCTGCTTATCTGGCCAAGAGTATAACGGCAACGGTGTTACTGCTTCATCAGTCGATGTAGACCGAGCAAAACCACCATCACCAGAGCCACTTGAAGCCATGCACCTAAACAGCATTGATGGCAGCGCAAACATATTTGAAACACCAGCACCAATTGTCCATGAGTTCTTCCATAGATTCCTACTTCCTGTCAGGAACCAAAGCATAACCGATTAAGCAGCCAAACAATATTTACCTAGATGAATTCGTACCAATTGTCAAATTTAATACAAAAGTACCGCAAAATGCAATTAAATAATGCCAGGAGCTTTGCTGTCCTACGAATGTCAAACATAGGTTCGAATAACTACAGTACAACCCAAAATCTATCAAGCGAGCCCATCTAGTTCAAATGCTTCCATTTCCATCTGACTCGAGATCAGACTTTAAGACATGGTTACACTATCAGAAGAAACAGTGCAAGCAATAACATCAGAGCAAAAATTCAAAAGTATTCTCGTTGGTAAGCTAAATAAAACATGAGAGCCCAATATTCAAACTATTCTCCTAGTCCTAGCTAAGCAAAATCGTGGCCCGGTACGTGCATTGACCAGGACCTGTTAACCATCGGACGTAAAGCCCCAACATGGCAGGCAGCAAGCGAACAGGCAAATCAGATTAACCACGAAATCTAGAGGCGAGAGGGAGCTCGTGGACCTCACCAAGTGCGAAGCGCGGCCGCGCCGTGGTGGGCACACGCGGCCCGGCGATGTGCGACGGGCGGCTCCACGGCGCCGCGCGGCAGCTCATCGGCGGGGAGCGGACGAGCGCGCGAGACGTGGCGCTTGTCGGGGCCGACGATAGGGGAACAGAAGCGAGAGGACTGAGGAGCCACAGCAGGGGGGAAGCGGAAGAGATCAGCAGGCGAGAGGGAGCTCTGTCGCTTCGCCTCGCTGGGACGCTGGAAAAGGGCGATGGTACTGGATCTGGATGGGCTTTGCGTTTTTTTTTTTAGCAAGTTTTGCGTGGGCTCGATGTGTTGGAAATTTGGAATATCAGAAGCGAGAGGAGCAACGGTGTCGGCGTGGCCCCTGAAGTTCCTAAAAAAAAAAGCACACTGGATCGGGAGATTTTTTTTTTTTTTGAGGAAGGATCGGGAGATTTCCTCAAAAGATAACCCTGACCGGCTGACCCTCGCCCACCAATGGATCGAGAAGATTTCTTAAAAAAAACTGGAGCCATGGTTACTGCAAGACATCATCGCTCAGCTACCAGTCCCAAAGCCCGCGGTCAGAAGGCTTAACCGTGGTTGCTGCAGCCAGTCAGCAACCAGAGATCAGAACCGTTGTGTGCACTGCATGTAGCGAGAAGCTGGTGTGCAGTCTCCATGGTTACTTGATACGGAGAAAGTAGTAACCAATTACCTGATCCAAACAGCAACAAACATGATGAAGTGATGAACCGTGGCTCTAAAAGCTAACAATTCTTCAGTCCGAATCTTTTTTTCTCTCTCTCAATCAACTCGGGGGAGCAAAGCTCCACGTACTTAAGGCTTTATTCGGCTGCCATTATAAGTCGACTTATCAGTCATTATACATTATTTTTTTCTCCTAACAAAATAGCCATACAAATTAGCATAAGCGGCTTATATAAGTTTATATTGAACAAAACGGCTGACAGCTTACAGTAAATATGCCCCTGACAGGCCAGGGAGAAAAGAACACGGGGGAGAGACCGAGAGAGTTATATCAGTTCCAAGACGAAGAGCGACAGGAGGAAAGGTTGTCTCGCACTCTCGCCAAGCAAGATTTATCCATCTTGCATCCGCACGCCCAGAGATCTTCAATCCGAATCTTGAGCTGGGCTTAGGCTACTGGTCGTCGCGTTCGTCAAACAAAACTGGCCTGCAACTGAAACACCGTTAGAAACTCGCAACCGATTAGGCGGCCCACGCGCATCTAAATATCTAATAAACAAATCTTATCAGCCTGTTCGGCAGCATGTAACTGTCTATATCTGGCTTGGCTTATCAACCAGCCAACAGTATTTTCCTCTCACGCTAAACCAGCCAGCAGTACTTTCAGTAATGACTTATAAGCTAATCCAGTCGAATCAAACATGTTGTTCGCCTTCGAAATGTCTTTGGAGTCAACAGGACTAGTCAATGCGAAAGGTGGGCAGGGACGGCGCTGCCGCCTGCCTGAGAAGAAAACGACGGCGATACGTCCCAGCGAGGACGCGCAGCCCAGAGCGGACGTCGGTCGTTGAAATGCCTCCTACTCCTAGCCTTCCACGCCTTATCGCGGGCAGGCGGGCAGGCCGGCAGCGCCGCAGCGGGCAGGACAAACGCAGGGACATGTGGTGGCTGGGTAACCTCGACGGCCAACTTGCCTCGCTGACTTCGACGTGCAGGCGAGCAAGGCGGGAAGAGACATGCCATGACGGCCGCCGGCGCATTGATGCCGCGTCATACTGTTGACTTATTTTTCCCCAGAGAATACTAGTGATATTTTATCAACTGATAAAAAAATATAACAGGAAATGTATGTGCTCAGAGTTGGGGAACACCGAGCACCCGCAACCGCAAGATGACAAGTTGGAAACTTCAGATTACTTCATTGCTTGTCAAAAAAAAAAACAGTTTTATCATGAAATGTTTCTGGATACTTCCCCGTAAAAATGCATGGCTTAGCTGTGCCCACTTATAAAAGAAGATTTTATTTTGTTGAATATTCAGCAGACCTATAGTTTATATTTAAAAACTCCTCAAATTCAACCAGCACCTTTTCTTAAAGGAGAAGGAAAGGTCGAAATGCTTAGTCATCTTTACAATCCTGAATCTTCGTTTATTCAAGGTCATGTTGACCTGTAAACATTTCCATGCTAAATATCAATTCGGTCTGAGTACACTGATTAATAATGCTTTTAATGAGTTCGTGTTCCACGAAATGAAAAAAAAAACAGGCAGGAGTCAACTGATTAGGATCGCAAAATGCCTCTTATTCAGGAAAAAGGCCTTGTGCGCTCTAGGAAGGAAATGGTGCATAAAGATATGACAGCGAAGCACGCGAAATGTTTCTGAACTTCCAAAGAAAATCGCATTTGTTCGGCCCAAAGTATTTTCATTTTCGTAGACGTGGCCACGAGTTGACCTCGTTTTGATCATCACGGAGTTGACCTCTTTGCTTGCCGTTTCAACGGATCATAGGCTTCAGAACGTGTGAGTTTTTAATTTCCCCGCCCTAATAGAACTTCATAAAAAAACTTTAATTTAATTCCCTAGGAAATACTCCTATACTCCTAAAAACACTTTATTTTTAATTTCGTAGGAGTAAGAGATGATTTGAATTGTTTTCTGTGGAATTTGTATCCTACAAAAATTTAAGGACTACTACTGCGTTACAGACAGAGCAGGTCCTTGACAGCATGACACCAAGATATACATCGATGGAAGCTGATCCCAGTAAGACCTTAAGATCTTGTTGGAATGTACGTGTTCACGTCAATTCATATGCGTTGAAGTGAAATAGAATGAAGTTTAATTTAATTCTACTCCGATTCATTTCAACACATGTAAATTGAGATGAATACATACGCGTCAAGACTCGGTCAGCGGTAAATCAACAGGCGCGGCGTCGTTAACGCCGCACCAAATCAGGAGCCACCTGTGAAAGGAAGTACAGATCGAGCACGAGCTTCCTTTGACGAGCGAGGAAACGGCCATCTGTTTCCTACCGTATCATATTTTATCTCCGAAAATCCGTGTCGTCATCAGCGATGGCTTTAGGAAAAGGCACGCATTAGTGCATCAAAATCACGTTAGACAAAGCGGTTGTTTATACTAGTAGCTCGCAACAGCGGATCACTATCACTGCATCACCAGCCTATTCCTTATATAAGACGAGCACAAAAAAAAAGTACTTTGGTCCAATAGCTTACCTTCGACTGTACTTCCAATCGACGAAATTTGTCGGCAAAGCACAAGCAATCTGTTCGTTTGAGCCGTGCAATAGTATTTTTTTCTCACAACAAATTAGCCGTATAAATCATTAGAAATCGATTTAATAGCAGCCAGGACGGAAACCGGTAGCGTCCTGTCAATTAAAAAGCGATTACATAGAGTCGTCAGAATCTGGCTCAAAAGTTTCAAGAGTCTGTCTCAGATGGTAAGAATTTTCAGAAAATAGCGAACATATTTCTTACTTTTGGCAAATACTCCGTATATAGAAAATCACGTTAAAATATCAGAAAACAAGATCTCAAATTCCTCTGTTCCGAACGTGCTTCACTGTTATGTTTTGTTACATATAAAACTTCCTATACAAATCGATCTCCTTTTATTATAAATTCATTCGTTCAGCACGTATTCAGGTCGTTCTTAATACCAGTCTTCCCCTGCAGGCCTGCTTCCTCCCTGTTTCCCCTGCAGGCCTCTCTCCATCTCCATCTCCATCTCCATCCCTCACCACAGCTCTTAAACCAGCGGCAGGCACCACCAGAGACTCTCCAAGTCCAAAAGCCAACCAAAGACCACCGAAATGGAGCCGAGGAGGATGGCTCCCGCGTCGCCGCCGCCGCCTCCGAACGACTTCCGGCTAGACAGCGCGGCCACCAGCCCGTACGCCACGGCGCTGTCCAGCCCGCGCGGGCGCCGTGTCCCCTCCGACGAGGGAACGGCGGGCGGTGGGCTATTCCTGACGGCGCCGCCGTCGCCGAACCCGTTCGACCTCCTGCCGCCGGCCACCCCGCGCCTCGCCGGCGCCAACCCGTTCGACCTCTTCCAGCACTTCACCAGCGCGCCCGCCAGCCCCCGGCGCGCCGCGGCCATTTACGCGTACTTCGCCGAGGGGGACGGCAGCGACGGTGGGCACGACGGTGACGACGGCGACGGCGACAGCGACAGCGACGAGGAGTTCCAGCCGCACCGGTCGTACGCCACGGGCGGAGGATCGTCCGTGCCGTTCGACTGGGAGGAGAGGCCTGGGACGCCGAAGCGGGGGCTCGGCGGGGGCGTGGCCGCCAACGAGGCGGCGTGGGACACGGAATTCGAGTTCGGCACGCAAGTCAGCAAGGCCGCACCGGTGGAGACGTTTACGACGGCCGACGAGCTCTTCGAGAAGGGCAAAATCAGGCCTTTGAAGCCCAAGCCCAAGACGGCCGACGAGCCCAAGATTCGTCCGTTGAAGCCGCCGCCCGGTCTGCTCGACGGTGGGAGCGTCGCGTCGTCGCCGCGGTCGCCGATGGCCAGAGGCGCCATGTGGTCGCCGCGGCCGAGGAGCAGGGTCGGCTCCGGCGTCGACTTCGACCCGTTCGCCGCCGCGCTGCTGGAGGCAACCAAGGCGCCATCGCCATCCCCGCTCGGCGGCAAAGATGGCAAGGGCAGTGCCATCGCTGGCTCGCCGCCAAAGAAACCGGCCTCGCGTACCGCGTCGAGGTCGAGGAGCGCCGGGTGGAGAAGGTGGCGGCTCAGCGACCTCCTCCTGTTCCGGAGCTCATCCGACGGCGGCCGAGTCATCAAGCAGGAGGACCCCGACATGAAGAAGCCAGTGCGACAGTTCAACGTGCCCGTCAAGAAGGCGAGCGCGCAGCCGGCGGTGACGATCAAAGCCAGCGCGAAAGGCGGCGACATGGGCAACGACTGGAAGCAGCATGGCAACAGGAACGCGGCCGCGGCGGCGGAGAGCGTCGCCGGGTGCGCTCGGCTGAGCCCGCTGCAGCGGCTGGCCAAAGGGCTCGGCGCGTACTCGTGGCACCACCACGGCATGGCGCCGCCGGCAAACAAAGGGTGAAGAATCATAGCGTTATTTTGCCGTATTTCTCTGCCCGGTTATTGTTCATACAAGATGTATCTTCTTTTTGCATAGTGTGAAACCATTTACAAGTGCAATTTGCAACCAATACTGCTTTTGGTATTGGTTTCTCACTTTGTGGAGCTTGACTGTATTATCATCGTGTACTATTTGCATAACTAGCAAACGTGGCGGTGAGGCTGTGCATGCATCGAACTCAATATATCTACTAGGAATCTCCATATATATATACATGTTCGGCTGGCTTATTATCAGCGCTGCAGCTGCTAAAAGTCACCGGTAGTTACAGTATTTTTGAGTCTTCAGCTGGCACGAATTTTTTATTTTTAGCCTTTTTTTGAAATTTTTTCACAAATATACTCCTGGAGGAAAGATTTTAGAATCTGGACTCTTAGCTCGGCGCCATCATTGCTGGCGCCGTGCTAACACGTCTCGGCGCCAGCGTTCCTGGCGCCGAACTCTTGAGCTCGAAGCCAACGTGGTGGTGATATGGCAGGTAGCTCGCGCGTGGCGCCGAGCTTGTGTTTTAACCCCGGCCCCAATCTTTCTGCCCGAGCCTTCTTCCTCTTCTTTCTCCTCCCTCTCGGGTTTTTCTCTCCCCACCTCGCCCTACCTCACGAATCGGCATATTGGACCTTGCAAACTTTGATTTGATCCATAGACCTTCGAGAGCAAGGTATCCTCGCTCTCCTCCTAGTTTTTTCGCATCGATTCGGTATATATTAGTCAGATTTTTCAACCTACGAATCGTCACTACTTAGGGTTTCATTCTATCTCTCAATATTTATATTATACAACCGTAGGATGATGCCAAGGCGTGGAAAAGCTAGCAAACCTAGGTAACTGCAGCGCATGTAGTTATGTTATGGGTTAATTATTGTGCATCAAATGGGAAACCCTAGGTTTAGGGTTTAATGTTAATTGCTTTCGGTTTTTAGAACGAAATTTGTTGTATTGTAGTTATGGTTCTCATTGGCATTTATTTGTGATGTTTTCATTTTTGTTTGTTAAATTACATCCGTTTTGTTAGATGCAAGAAATATATCGGGAGGAGTTTTGGCGAAAACGGGGTCATCCTCGAGAATTATACCCCGACGCGTCTAGCAAAGATGCCCCCGCCCCTCCTGACCTCCCTGTCCCTAACTGTGACTGTGGTTTCCTGGCTCACGTTTTTCAATCGAAACATCCAGACACAGCAGCGCGGTGCTTCTACACATGCAGTCGTTTTAATGTAAGAAATTATTTTCACTATCTTTTTTCTTTATTTGTGTAAGTATGCTACTAATATTTTGTTGGAATCACGTTGTGTAGGACCATGGGAGGTGCTTTTTTCAATGGATCGACGGTGCAGACAAGTTTGATCCTAGGTACCTCTTTTTCGACGATTGGTTTAGAGGGAGACATCCACGTGAGCACTTCAAGCGGTGGGTTCCACCCCCCCTAACCCTCCGCCAATGATGGCTAAGGAGAAGCACCTAGCCGTAGTTTGACGACTCAAGGAACCTCCTCTGTGCCATTGCGGAGATCGAGCTGTGATAAACCCTAAGAATACGTTGGAGTTTGTGTGTCCAAACAAGCATGAAGTAAGTGCAAAGTGTATGTATTGAAATATTGAGCTATATGTGTTCATGTACTAATGCCACCTTATTTAGGTGTTTTCAATGGCGAAATGTCGTTTCAAGGAGTGGTTGTATGGTCCTAACAACCAATGGTCGGAAGAACCGCGAAAGGTTAAGGAAAAGAAGAAAGAAAGGGTAATTTACAAAGCACCTCCTGTCATGTGAGAATGTGGTGTTAAATCCAACTATGGCCTAGTCCCTTCGGAGCTTGGAATAGGCCATTATTGCAGCCATATGATTGACTATGATGAGGTTGGTTATTTTTGTGGTAAACATGAAATCGTATTTTGTTTCTTTTGCTAAGACATATATGATATAATTTTTCATTTGAATAGAGTACTAGGAAATGCAGGTGGAAATGTTATGATGGTCAAGATAAGTTCTTGGATGAACTGAAGGGGAGGCAAGTAATTGCACGGAAGAGGGGATATGGACCTGACTACGTCAACCTATTCGTTAAATATCACAAAGAAAAGATGCGTGAGTTTGCTAGATAGCGCGGTATTTGTAACCCGATCGATGTTGGGCTTGACAAATGGGGATTGGAGAGACGGATGACGTTAGAGGAGGAGAGGGCAAGGAAGGAGGCAAGAGAGGAGACAAGAGTACAGATGTAGGTTTTGAACGGGCATGTTGTTGCATTATGTGTCAGTGAGTGCATAAAAGCCTTTTTTCGTTGCCTGATTTTAAATGTAATATAATCACGTTGCTAACTGATTGCATTTTATATATGAAGGGATTGGATGCAGCGAGGAACATGTCGCATAGGTGGCTCATGCAAGGTATGAGGAAAAGAAGTTAGATGAGCACAGATCGTGAGCTGGTCGCACCGTTCAATCACCGATTGTGTTATCTGATGAGGGGGACGAGGATGAGGACGACACTAGCAGACTGAGTGAGCTCATCGCTCTAGCAGAGGCGGGCTTGCAGGCGGAGGAGGCTGAGGACGACACTGGCAGACTGAGCGAGCTCATCGCTCTAGCAGAGGCAGGCTTGCAGGCGGAGGAGGATGACGACATGTTCTTCACTCAGGCCGTAGAGGCCGTAGATGAAGCGGAGGCCACTTACTATAGGCGATAGGCAGGTCAGAGCAATGTAGGTGAGACTAGCCACAACAACAGGGTTATGGTAGAGAACTGGTACTCGGATGATGAGTTGCTTACTCAGTATGTTTCAAACTGAGGATTTGAAAGTGCATTTGCCCCCTATGTGGGTTTTGGTGTATTGATGACATCCAAATTAGAGACTAATGTGATCTTAATGAGATATGTCACAGCTATTACTTAGTATGCGCTCTCCAAAGGTTTTATTTTTGTTTTTGTGTTTAGGATCCACCGCACTATAAAGAAGGATGCAAACTTAGTTGGTCTGAGGAAGATAGAGTGCTCAAGCATAGAAATAAAGTCAAAAGAGAGACACTCAAGCACTCCATGGGCACGTAGAATATTTTTAGTGATTATTGGTGTTGGAAGTCCTGATGTAAGCCGGAACTCCCGACAGTTGGAAGTCACGACTCATGCCGGGAGTCCTGACGCCCAATCACTTAGCCTGCGCATTGACAGTGGACGTCGGAAGTCCCGACCCAAGTCTGTACGATACATTTAATCCGTGTACTACATTTGTGCCTTTTTAGCAGTGTAGAATGATTAATGATTCATGGAAAAAAATCGCAAGAGTTTTCCTTGTTTCAGGAGCATCCACAGTTACAAACAACGACATCATTATATAATCCAAACATTTATCCATCCAAAGAGTACAATGCAACCACAACGAACATCACAATCAACATAACATGTCCTGTACAGTCCAAATAGTCCATAATATCCATACAATCCCAAATAGTTACAGGAAAGTAAATACAAAATCCATAATAGTGCATACTAACATCTACCACAACCCGCACTGCCTCCTAGTCTTACCCTTACCCTTGTGACTGAGAGCGCTCGAACCTAGAGTGTAAGGGTCACGTGGACGGCGTCGCCTAGTGCCTGGAGGCTGTGTAGGCTGAGTCGAGGGAGCGTCATGGAGCTGAGAGGGGCCAAGCTCCTCTTGCCTCTGGTCCACGTCATCGTCACCGTCCTCAGCCTCGTCCCCATCCCCTATAGCTACTTGGCTAGAGGAACCTAAGCCTCCTTTGCCTGCAGAAGGAACGTATACGTCTTGTGTCGTGTCTGTCCTACAACCACAACGAGCAGCTGCACGGCGTAGCCGATGTGACAGGTTGTACAAAATTATGTTAACTGAAAGAATCTACCGTATGAATAATATGTTTGAAGAGCCGGGCCAGCGGACGCTAGGCGTGGGTCAGGCCGAAGAGCCGGGCCGGTGGTGGCACGGCCAGCCATTGTAGGTGCCAGGGCCGGCGGGGGCGTGGCCGACAACGGCGGTGGCGGGCAACGGGCGCGGGATGCCCGGCGCTCCACGTGGCGAGGCTGGCTCGGCGGGCCCGGGCGGCACGGCTGGCGAGCCCTAGGCCGGCGGTGGTGGGTGGCACGGTCACGGTCACGGCACCTATGCGGCGGGGCACGACCAAGGCGGGCGCGGGCGGCACATCGGGCGAGGCGAGGGCGCGGTGCGGGCGTAGGGACCAGCGAGGGGACCGGGGCGCGGGCGCGGCGGTCCTACGCGACCTCAGGGAGCGGCGCGGGCACGGGGCGTGGCGTGGCCGAGGTGCCGACGAGGCGCGGGCGTCCGGGGGCGGGCGCGGTGGCGGCGCGGCACTGGTGGGTGGCCGCGGCAAGGCGCGTGCACGGGCGAGCTCGAGGCTGCGCGGGCTCGGGCGGCCGGTGAAGGGAGAGGGCGCTGGTGGCGACAGCAGTGCTCTGCTCGGGCAAGGGAGATGCGAGAGAGAGAGAGAGAGAGGGAGGAAGAGAGAAAGGATTGGAGCCCATACGTAAGAAAGGCTCGACGTCAGTCACCCTGGCGCCAAGATCTACGGCGCCGAGCTTGGCGACAGGGTGACTGGCGCCGAGCTTCCTGCCATGTCACGTCACGTTGGCTTCGAGCCCAAGAGCTCGACGCCAGAGATGCTGGCGCCGAAAAGTGTTTGATATAGAACATAAAGGATATAGATAGAGATATGGACTAAGATATAAGATAGATTATACTCTCTTTATCTGAAATATAGTGCATTCTACGTTGAAATTTGACATGAAATATCAAGGGAACAAGAAGATAATGTTTACTTAAATAAAAATACACGATTAATTTGTATAAGGAAAACAATTCATGTAGTTGCCATATTTTGTATAAGGAGACTAAAAGTTCACCTTTTATCATGCGGAATATATAATCAGATTTCTATAGATTAGAAAGGTAAGTAAGAGGTACATGCGTCTATTATAGGTCCTCTTATTTTAT